ATTGACGGAATTATGGAATTATATAAAACAAATTGCACTTAAATATCATACTTTTTATTGCATATCATCTTATTTTATAAATTAATTGTTGTTATTTTTCAAATTGCAGAGATATCATGAAGTTGTTTAATTCTAAAAAGAATAGAAAATTAAATCGTTTTTATTTAGATAATAGAAATAACATTAATTTGTCAACTATATCGATCCATCAAACTTCAACCACTACAAATTCTATTACTTCAGCTTACAACAGTATGTTTTTGATTTCAATTTACAAATTAAAAACTATAATTCTATTTCAATTTATCACCCGTGGATTTCCACGAGTTTAAACCTAATCTTATGTATACATGTTAAATACGTAAAATAACGTTACTACTAACGTTATAGACTACTTTACATGCAAAGTTGGTAATACACTAAGGTTTATCATTTAAATGAAACACACTTTTTGAAAAACTATAATAGGTATAATTTACGAGATATTCATGATAGTTTTACATATTATAAACAAAAGATGAAATACTTATATTCACAAGAAAAATTGATTTTTCATACGTAAACCTATTGATACTAAATTTTGTGAGATATCTGACTTCATCGAACCTTTCAGTTCGCAGATTAAGTCCTGTTTTATAAGTCATAATCTCTTGCAGGGAGAGTGTGATTTTTGTGTATAAATCTATACGGGATTGGTAATCTCGCACCTAAATTGTTAGCTACAGTTAGACCGGCAGGTCTGGGGTGACAAACATCATATCATTCCAACGCTTGAAGAACGTTGTTGCAGACAGTCTGGGTCAATAACACAGTTATAAAAACTCACATGGAGTATTAATACATCTTTGTTTACGGGGCTATTAAACGTCTTAGTGATATATATATATATATATATATATATATATATATATATATATATATATATATATAAAGCTACTTTATTTTGAAACATGTATAACATTCAACAATGTAACTTTTAAATTATATTTATGATAATTGTGTTTATTTTCTTTACAAATACTCAACTGTTATGATACTACATGAAGTCATCCACCCCCGAATGTTTCCCCATTCATGTTTGGGGGTGTGACAAAGCGAGAGTTAGAAGAGATGGCCGAGAAGCTGAGTTCTCGTTGAAGTAGTGTGACTGTTGTTTGACAGCCTAATGATGGATAAGGGTGCAGTGACGGATCCTCTAAGGGGACAGGGGAGGCCATGCCCCCCCCCCCCCCCCCCCCCCGGTTTTTCATAACATTAACATTAAAATCTTAATATGGTTGGTTGCTTTCTCACATAATTCAAGTTTTAAAGTTATGTCAAGTTAAATACAAACCTGTAAACTATCAATGTTGTGCATAAAAACACGGATGATTATCCCAAATGTAAATTATATCTTTTGAACTACACCCATTATAAAAGGGTTTCTAAATTATTTGAAAAATCAAAATAAAACCATCGGTTTGTTATTTAAAAACTCCAAAAGCCCTTAAAAATCTAAAAATCCCTGATCTCAATACAACATGTTCAAAATCTTTTACAACATTTCAGAACCGTTTTGAGAATGATATATTGGATGCCTCTCTCACCCTTTCCCCCAATTTGACCTCTCGATGTATACTTCAGCCGTTGTCATCGCTCTTCGCCTCCGTATGTCCGCCACTCACTAGACATATGTTGGTCGCCGGTTTCTTAGCTGGTTGTGGGTTCATCAGCGGCTCTACCTCACATCGTTCGCCGATCGGTTACGTGGTTTGCTCTCTCGTGTATTAGTTATCGTATGTCTCTCCAGTGTCCCTTGCTTTGTTTTTTGAGCTACTTTTCCATTGTTTATAGCTAGAACTTAGGAACGTGGAGTGTGGTGGTTTTTAACTTTTTATGTGACAGGAGATAGGTAGCCTGCATTCTTCCCCATAAAAGATAAAGTAATATTAAAATATATAAACACTGTTATTGTTGATGCATCGTTGAGTAAACTCTAAGTAAATTCTAAGATGATATATCTTTATAATTTATATGTAATAATAATCGATTGTTTTAAGTATTATTGGTGTGACAATTCTTATATAATTTTATATGTTGATAGTTATTGATGGACTTTGTGTTAATAAGTTTAGTTCTAGGCATTATTAATTGTTTTCTAGGATTTTTTTTATTTGTCGTTTTTAGTCATAAGGAAAAACCATATTTTTGATTTATAACTATTAGCTGGTTATTATTATTATTATTATTATTATTATTATTATTATTATTATTATTATTATTACATAAATGAAAATTAGAAATAGTATATTTTTGGGCTTTAGGTTTTTATTATAAATCTTTGGTGCATTTAATATTTTTCGTCCTTAAATTTAAAACTTTTATATTTTTGTGTTTTGATTGAATTTTTCTATCTTTTGGTTTTTGACATAAATCCTTAGTGAATTTGACACTTTTAGTCCTTATAGTAAAAAGTTTTATATTTTTGATGTTTTTGCCACAAATATTTTATGAAGTTGACACTTTTCATCCTTGTACTAAAAACTTTTACATTTTGACATAAAAAAAACTCCTTTTAAATTTTGTCACCATATTTTCCCAACTTTGGCAACTTTAACATTATTGTCACAATATTTTTGAATTTTCTCCAACAATGTCCATTCTTTTGGTTGTATACTTTATCTAATTTTAGGGGCTGTCGACTTTCTCCCATATTTGTGGTGATTTACAATTTCAACACATATCTTTTAAAGTTTGCCAATTTTTCCCGTAATACCCCACAAGCAGCGTCCGCGGCCTCTTTACTAGTTGAATATTTAAAATATAACGACTTCACAACATTTTAATTGATAATTGGTTATTTAAAGAGAATACATCAATAATGTTAAGGTAGTAATATCGTTGTTCTGCCATGAAATTTATAGTACTTTAAAAAATTCAAAATGTTTATGTCAAAAATAAATAGAGTACAAATAATACATAATACAATTAGATTCAAACAATGCAAACACAATCTTAATGAAATAAAGCGTGTATTGATAATATGTCAGAGAAGATTTTTGTTGAGAATGAGGAACAACATCAACTTTTAGCAGAAACTGTAGACAAACATCGTTTTTGACAGCGAAGGTGTGCCAAAAGCGTCGGTGAATGTCACTGGCTATGTTTTCCAGCAGAGGTAAATAACAGAGGAGTGTTGGCTGCTAATGTTAACAACGGTGGTACACGATGTTGGAATGGCATTGGAAAGGTTTCAGCAGTAGGGGATGTGCTACGACGTATCCAATCACGATAGTCTGAGATATGCTACATCGGCAGTAGGATTTGGCGGTGTTGGGTTAGCTAGAGTTGCTCTTAGGGTTAGAGATTTTTAGGGTTGGGGTTTGTATGGAGAGAGAGAGAGAGAGAGAGAGAGAGAGGAACCATTTGTTATGTTGAGAGAGAGAAAGAAAAAGATTCTCCTGATGTATTGATTTAAAATTAGCATACACCTATCAATTCTTAGTACTTATATAGTATGAATGTTTGTTTTTTATTCACTTAAATCTATTGACATGGAACACAAGTTATATAACAATCCATACCATCCATTTAAATCTAAGGTTCATATCCTACTTCCTTGTTTTTAAGATTTGGTCTTAAAAACTTTTGACATTCTATTATTTATATATATATTATAAGGTAATAATATATATATATATATATATTATATATATTATAATATATATATATATATATATATATATATATATATATAGTTTGAACACTAGCACTTGCAACTCCATTGCTGCTACCTTTATTGTTTTCGTTCCAAATAATAAATCACATCTACTTTCTCTACCCTTCACCGCATTGCACAACAGTTGTCATACACCGTCAATCCAACTAGAGATATCTCCCTCCTTTTCACACCATTGCTAAACCACTTCAAACTCATTCTCTTACTATCAATGATGGTGGTGAGGTAAGAGTTTTATAAATTTGTATGTTGATTTTGATAGTTATGGGTTAGGATTCGTGTAGAAAACATGATTTTCCATTTCTATTAGATGGTGGTGGTAATGATGATGATGGTTGTGGCGACTGATGATGTTGGTGGTAGTTACTAGTAGGTGATGATGACAGTGTTGAGGATTAGAGGTAGAGTCAAGATTTTACAATAAAGGGGATAAAATCGTATACAAAATGTTAATATGAAAGTCTCAGTATTTTTGGAATAGTTTAAAAAATGTACTAAACTTTTTTTTTAATAAAAAGCCAAAAACCACCAAATATATTCAGTTTAGTCATTTTTACATATTCAGCTAGTTTATTTCATTAAGATTGGGTTTGCATTGTTTGAATCTAATTGTATTATGTATTATTTGTACTCTATTTATTTTTGTTAAGAAAAAGTAGACAACTACAGAAAATTTTGTTCATTTACTTTATAAATACATACTTTTAATGACAATACAATTAAATTTGGGTACGGCTAGGTATGGCCCCCTTAATATTTATGTTCGGAACCGGCCCCCTAATGTTTATATTCGTGTTCCGCCCCTGCAAGGGTCACTACAAAAATTATGTCATTTAGTGGCACACAAAAAATGCCACTAAAACCCTAAAAATGTGTCACTAAAGGTTTTTAGATAATCAGCAACACATTTAATAAGTGTCACTAGAAACGCTCCCACTAAAACCCTTTAGTGACACTTCTTGCTTTTGTCGCTGCAGTTTTTTCAGCTTTTAGTGACACTTTTTTATTTGTTACAATAAATGAAAAGGTTTTTGTGGCACATATTTTGTGCCACTGAAAGCTCGTATGATTCAAAAATTTATGTTACTTTTAGTTACATATTTTAAAATTTTAGTGGCACTTTTTTATTTGCTACAATACAAAAAAATATTTTATGGCACATTTTGCACTGATAAATATGAGATTCTATAATTTAAGCTTCTTATATCTACATAACTTGTATCTACAAAATAAAATAAAATAATTAATTAAATTATAGAACATAGAAAATAATCAAAACTTCATTGCTTTTCATCAATATTATCAAACTTTTTCAATCAAATATCTAAGTAAATGTCAAATACAACTAAATATTTTTTTTAAATCATCTATAGATCATTGGATACTTGAAAAATCGCTTGAACGGCTCGTAGGGAAGTCTGCATAATAAATCCTGCTTAATAACAACAACAAAAATTAAAATAAAAACCAACATAATAACAACAACAAAAAACATAACAACTATATATCCCACTCTCAAAGTAATAGCAACAACTTTGAAAGTTGGTTGTTATGCTTTGAAAGTATAACAACCTAATCACAAAAAAATGAAAGTTAACTAATTTATAAACTATGCGTTTTTTTTTTTTCATTTTTTCTTTTAGTTGTTGAGGAGTCAATGTTAAATGGTTGTGTACCAATCAAGTAACTCCTATAGAATAATCCTTTGAGAAGGTCTTACATAATGAATGCAGTTTCTAAGGCAATGCCCGACTGCAAACTGATAGCCCTCACCATGACCTGATTAAGATCAAGAAAGATATGATCCAAAAAAATTATCATATCATATACATGTTTTAGAGGAGTATGTTGTAAAATCCCAACGATTATTAGATTTGTTTTTTCAACTATGCTAATTACTTCTATATATAATTAAAAACAAATCTACGCAACACTTTCATTTTTTTTCTTAAATTATGCAACAAACTGATTTTTTGTTAAAAGAGATAACACCAGAGTTCATTTTAAGATCAAAACATACAATATTTCACCGGTAATTTTGTTGCATAATTTATGAAAATTAAACAACTTTTTTGTTGAATAAATTAGGAAAAAAGTGAAAGTTTGTTTCATAAGTTAAGAAAAAGATGGAACTTTGTTGCATAAATTTTATATACAAACCTTGAGACGTTGCATGTGCAGTTCTGATTGAAGAACTGAATGTGAAGGTATGACGTGCTGCCATGCTGCCTTTACAAAAGAATAAAGACATCCTGCACAAAAAATCAATAAAGGGTATTTTGGGCATTTAATATAATATTCATTCCAATTAATTTGACAAATTTTTAAACAAATAGAAACAACAAAAGAATGGAATTGGATTCCACTCCATTTCTTGATAACAATGCATGACATATTTAGTTCTTAAAATTTCGATTTCTTATCAAAACCTCACTTATAAAGATGTCAAATGGCTCACATTCCAGCGCATCAAAAGGGTCTTGACATTCACTACAATTCCATATGAAAACCCACAATTAGAATATAAGATCTATACTTTTGACTAGAAAATATAAAATAAGAAAAGGACAAAACATGTATTAAATGGAAGACCCGAGCACTCACATGTCTTTTCAATAGCCTATGATTTACTTATATCATATAACACCTGGAAAAAAAATCGAGATTTTGAAGAGTATCTCTCAATAATTACATGTTTAGATCTTTATAAAGTTAAAAAGTTTATAAATTTTTTTAAAGAAACGTGTGCATCATAGGAAGTTTCTTGGTAACAATTAACAACCTAAATCTTAGGAACATCATCTACCTCACAGCTTGAATGACACAACGAATCATGTATCTGAATTTCACCTATAAAAATAAAAAATAAAATAACAAAAATAACTATTAAATACAAAAATTGCATTAGAGTTCTCCCCTAATTTATATGTCATGTGTTAACAATAGTTAACATTTAAAAACTGGTGAACACCAACTACTTGTGTTTATAAATTCTATGGCACTTGAGCACTCCACACAAATGTTATTCGAGACCAGATATATTTGCAAATGGACCTCAAACATATTGAACAATGGAATACAAGTATACAACCATGGAATAAGTGAAAAAATAAATAAATAGAAACATAATTTGGCATAAAAAGCTACTTTGAGGTCAAACAAAGTCCAATCAGGCATTATGTCGAGCACCTGGTGGGTAGAAGAAACAAAGATTACTCCACAAAACAACTTTATGATTAAAAATATGGATGAATGCAAGAAATAGAAAAAATCCTAACATATCCAAAGATGACACTACAAACTAGACTTTGCAACCTTGCTTTCATAAATAGCAATATTCCTATCAAAATGGAAAAGGACTAGCCGACCACCAAAGTTTGTTTCCAATCATATCATGAAAGCTAGTTCTAGTTCTACAATGTAAATTTATGGAAAAGGACCAACAATATACATTCAATTATGATATATGATCCCCAATATATCACGATCAGAACAACATCGATTTAATATACTTCCTGATCTGCGTCTATGATTCTACATGTATAAATAAATCAATACGTGAAAGAAACGAATTACCTGAATCACAATAGATGTGAAACAGATCTTCAAATTTAGGGTACAGACTTCGACAAATAATCAATTGCAGAAAACGTATGCAGACATTAGGGAGGATTTAGGGCACAATTTCTTCGGACTTGAACGTACTTGTGTTTGCCTCCGGTGATAATTGAACTGAAATCCTTAGGGGTCGTAACTACTTCCTTTCACAACTATTATGTTGAAATTGTAACTACATGAGATGGTGAATTTAAAGTTTGCAGAAATTATCGGATCAATGGATCATAGATTCGAGTGTTATGTGTGTATATTGGAAGATTTTGAATCTACGAGAAGAATATGAAGAATCAACTCAGTGTAGACTAGCAACGATAAAAGAAAGCGATGTGGACAGTGGATGAATGTGAGCATAGCGGTGCAGCAGGCTATGACGATGCCTATGAGCAGGGACGATGGTGGCGAAGGAGCAGTGGCGTGGTTGTTTGAATTATAGGAATGGTTTTAAGAATAGAGTGGGTATAGTGTAAAAGAAAAAAAAGGGTAAAATTGTTTTTTTTTTTTGTAAAATAATTAAATTATATAATAATTTTTAGTAAAATAGAACTTTTAATGTCATATTAAAACATTATGCCATTAATACTTATGAATATTAGTGTCATAAAATTTTAAGTGCCATTAAATCCATTAATATTTATGGTGGCACATACAATATGCTACTAAAAACATGATACAGTAGTACATCAAATATATTTCATTAAAAATATATGCCACTAAATATCATTTTGTTTGTAGTGGGTGAGCCAATGATGAGCAAACAAGATGACACTAGCACATGGGCGACAGAAAGCCAACGGTTTAATGACCACTTCCGGAGTTTCAAGGTTTCTTCGGTTTCATGTTTGAAGATTTATCTTTTATTAAACTTCAAAACCTTGTATAAGTCCGATTGTTTGAGGCATTTGTTATGTTTTGAATTTTAGATATTTGAATCGATATCTTCTATTTTTTTTTTTTAAAGTAAAGAACTATTTTAGTTTGATATTTCGACTTTGGATCAACAATATGGCTGAAGGAAAGTAATTTTATTAAAAAACTAACACCAAAAGTAAAATTGTAAGTGGGGTGCTTTAACCTTGGTTGAGTTGGTTCCAACTTCCAACACAGCAGCAATACTCTAATTATAATAGATGGAGATTAGGAGGTAGTACCACCGGCCTATCTTCCCACTATTCGAGCCGGTCTAAATATTTTTCTAGTTAGCTATAATCTTAAACACATTATTAACTCAAACAATACCTAATTTAAAGCAAGATAAAAAATATTATTAAATCATTTTATTTTTTATTTGACTTGTAATGTATGAAGGAAATAGGGAGAAAGACTGGTGGGCTAACATTGACTACAGGCTGCGTCAGCATCCCGGTGTAGAAAAATTATGTATGAAAAGTCTATATTCGTGGTCGTGACTGATCATAACATGAATAAAGTCAAAAGAAAACTATTCTACTACTCCTCCTCTTCTTTCTATAGTCAAAATCTAAATCTTTCCATTTGTTTTCGTTAGTTAGGATATATATATATATATATATATATATATATATATATATATATATATATATATATATATATATATATATATATATATATATATATATATATATATATATATATATATACCCGTCCAACCCACATCCATCTCATCAACAATAGATATCACATATGAATACTAAAACAATCATCCAATCAAACTTAAGAATAGATCTTAAAAGTTAAAATAGATTATCATCTTAAGATATATAATTATTCATATTTGTTATAATTTTTTTTATTAACTATGAAATGATTTGTGACAAGTAGTTATGAGATTTTGAAGAATCAATAATTATGTGATTCATTATTTACAAATAATATATGCATGGACAATTAAATGCTAATTAATGTGTTGTAACATATTATTTTTCTTCCATTCCATGCATCTTCAACATGGATTATAATAAGAAAAGTTTTCACATGTTTTATTTTAATATACCAGCAAGGTCCATTAAAGAATTGTTTTCTTAGATAAAATTTTAAACAATAAACATGCGATAAGAATAAGTTTCAAGGATTATACATGCGATTTCATTATAAATTAATTTTTTTGTTATCGTATATCTATTTATTTTAACGAATTTGATTGATCATTGGAAGCACCATGATAAAAGTTCAACGTTTATTATTATTATTATTATTATTATTATTATTATTATTATTATTATTATTAATCTGTAACATAACCATAAAAATGGAGAGATTATGATATTATTTAGAGTGAGTTACAGAAATGGTCGTTGTGGTTTGCTCTAATTTGTAAGTTTGATCCAATCTTAAAAAAAATTAATAGGCTACGTCCCTATGGTTTCAAACAGTTACACTATTGGTCCATTTTGGCTAACATTGTCCATAACCTATTGTTCAGCCGGGTTAAAAGACCAATTTACCTTTTTTTTTTAATATATTTTATTTTATTTTGGTTTATGTCGCATGGTAGGGAGTCTGAAGGGTTTTCCTATTTCTGCTTGGGTATTTTTTCTATTATTTGTCTGCTTTACTTTCTTGAGCAAAGGCATAAGCTTGAGGTAAATTCTTTTTAGTACGATTAAGGTTAAAAGATGAGAAATTAGGAGTTTTTGTTGGTATTCAATGATCATGGGAATTGATTTGACATGACTTCATTCCCATATTGAAGGACTTTGTCATGATGTAACAAACTTTATAGAGCAAAACCACAAATTATAGGCTTTATTGTTGAACCGTGATTCCGTGAATCATAATTGCATGTGTTGAAAGAGAGAATGGAATCACAATTACAACTCAACAACTCTAAAATTCCATAAAGAAAATGCTCAACAAGTTCCTTTAAAAGAAATGCTGCTAGCAATTCAATCTCTAGATAAGGAACTTGAAGATAAGAAGGATGCATCCAAGAATGTAATTTCAATTGGAGAAAAATGTTGAAGGAAAAAAGATATTGTCAATGGTAACAACATACCATCATCATCATCATGGAAGATGGATCTTCACGCTTTTGAGGTGTTATATAAGATCAAGAGGCTAAAACAACTTCTCATGGTCAAGAAATAGACTAAAAAGCAAGAAAGCTGTGAAAATAGCAAATATGATGATAAAAGGAAGTTATATAGCATCCCAATAAACAAGTCACTATATGTCGGTCTCTCCAAGAGAAGGCTAACTATATTTGCAAGCGAATGGTGAGTTTTTTTTGGTTTATCAAGTTCACTTCTTTTAAAGACTTTGTTATTGGTCAAAATATCACCTAAAAATGTGTACTTATTTTATCTTGTTGGAGTCGTATTTTTTGGACTATTCAATCCTTTATCTTGACACATGTTCTTTTTTGTCACAGTGGAACTACCCAAGCTTCAAGATAAGGTATCCATTTTGATGTTCTTTTGCTAAGAAACAATGGTTGTGACATAAAAGAACATGCAGAAAGATTCCTTCTCAGCTGAAAGTACATGAAAATTCAATTTTTTTTACATCAAATGAATGACAGTTGAAAATGAAAATAACACGAAGGAAACTAAAAAAAGATTCAAGTACAAACACATTTCTGAAAGGAGAAAAAATTGGTGCTATTTTGACGTGGGCAAAAACAATTGAAGAACAGGGGAATAATGTATCAAATAGATAGTTTTAAGGTCATGTTCTATATATATACATACATACATATATATATATATATATATATATATATATATATATATATATATATATATATATATATTTCATTGCAAGCACGTTATATACGGACCAATAGTAATTGTCGGGTTTACTTTCTGTAGGATACACAGGTCTCAAGTGGCATATCTTTTCCTTCCTATTTAAGTTCAGTAGACCCAGGTAGGTTTCATACTTATTTACAAAAGTGGTAACAAATATTGATCAAGATGTGATTTGATAAATGGTTGTTAGATAATAGAAATTTTTTATGAGACTGCTAAGGGAGCACTACCTGATGTTTTAGGGGTATTTCCTGATGTATTCTTATAGACATACTCTAAAGATGGTAATATACTATTATTCTAGGAATAAGAGTAACATTTTTATTTTATTTTTCTTTGTTTCATGTAATCTATTTTGGTCGTTTTAGACAATATAGCAACAATTTTATTTGGTAATAATGCTTGTTATTGGAAAGTATAATGTCGAATTAATAAAGTATTGCAAGTACAATGCTTTAATTAGGTAAGCTTCCAAATGTTGTATATATTGATAAAACATTGAAAATGGCATATATGAAACAAAAAGAAGAAAGAAGTGAAAGTAGGATGTGGTAATGTACAAATAATTGAAAGTATTTTGATATTACTTGCTTTAGCCTATAACCAGGCTGTTTAAAAGCAATCAACTACCATCACGACTATTAACTTGAATTTCTTGATGTAGGTCAACTTCAGGTCCACTTGACCATAAACTTGATAAAAATTACTTGCTGCAACTGCTTATTGGTTTAGAATGAAGTCTTATGAAATAGTTCAAAAGGAACATGGAGATAATATTGAAGATGATGGAAACTTTACTCCTTTGTTTAAGTACTTGGTAACGACCAACAAAACCTAATTCCACGGAGTTGCATTAGATGATATTTGTTTATAGCAATCGAAACTCATCATGAAATTAGCAGAAATGTATACTTGTTAAAAAGACATTTCTTTTACATAGCTCGTAGTTTTGTATCTATGTTGAAGCTTTTCTTATGCTTATGTTTTGTTAAAAACGTATTTTACCTAAAAAAAATCATATAAAAGTAGCTTACCGATTAATTCATTAGGGTCGTGATTATCACGGCCCAATTAAGTTTCCTAGTTTACATATATAAGAGGCACCACATCACCATCACCATCATTAACCCCATGACCATCAAAATCAATACAAAGAGAAAACTATAAAATTATTTTGTTAGACCGTATGCGATATCCTATAGATACAATTCAACAAGCCCTCCAATCCTATATATAAAATTCAAGAAGCCCTCTAAAACCTTAGCAAACAAGGCAAGAATCTAGGTTTATAAGGTTCAAAACACATTGAATATTCTCCATAGTAAATAATTTTTTTTTGTCATATGCTATTTTCTCCTTCATTTGGACACATGACATTTTCTAGAATTTTTGAATTTTCTATTTTCCACTTGTCATTTTATTATATTTTTTATTTTATTAAATTAAAATTTCATATTTAATATGTAAGATAATATATATATATATATATATATATATATATATATATATATATATATATATATATATATATATATATATATATATGTGTGTGTGTGTGTGTGTGTGTAAGATATTTATTAGAAAGGTTTATATATGTAATGTATTTAATAATTAAAGCATCATTAATTTTAATAATTCAAAATTATTCTCATTTTTCTTATAAATTCAAACTTTTCAAATTGTTAAAATTATATATATATATATATATATATATATATATATATATATATATATATTAAATAAACCCATGTAATACATAGGTGTCAAACCTAGTGGCAAAATGTACAACCAAGCTTCCGAATGCTGTGTTTGAACCCCATTTACATTTAACATGAGAAAACATTTTTCATTGTCCATTGTCATTTTTGTCATCTCCTTTATGAACCCTAACCCCACCCACCTACAGTTAGATCTGTCAATGGAACGGGTTTGGAGCGAATCACCCTTGATCCAAACAATTTTAAAAAAATCAAAAACAGGACCCCCCCACCCGCTCCACTCCAATAACCCTCGGGGTTTTGCTTAATCAAATCCATACCTATATTAACCAAATTAATGAATACCCGACCCTTTTACAATATTAAAATTTCATAGTTTTGATGTGTGCCACCAAGTAATATTTATCAAAAAAAAAATATGAAATGTCTTTGGAAACAAATATACATTAATTAATA